CTTGGCTGTAGAGGGCAGTGTCACTGGCCCTCACATGTGGGATCCGAACCGGGGCCCTCTGGCGTCCCAAGCCAGCTCTTAACCAACGCGCCACTCAGCCGGCCTGTGCAGCTTTCTGTCTTCTAACCTCCTCACTCACCTTTGGGTTTCTACTCGTCATGACAACCTCCTTTATCCAATGAGTTTACACATAAGCTAGGCACCGATTTTGAACATGACTTTATGTTGACCACAGTTTGTGTTACCTGCTTCCAGTTGGTAGTTGGGAAGCTTCACTCATCACATCAGTGACATGTAGAGACCACTGCAGACAGGGCCACCCAGACCCATATGGCACCTTTGTGCAAATTAGAAATGGGCCTCATCCTTGGAATGGCTGCAGCCCCAGGCCAAGGTGGCATCCAGCCTGCATTTCCACCTCATTTCCCCAGCCGGACATGCTTGTGCAAGGTGCCACCATCTACGAGGTCCTCCACTGGACAGCTTGTAATTAACGCAAGTGTGCCCAGCAAATGTGTATCGAGCAGCTGCCCTGGGCCAGGCAGCCGGCTAGGTCACACAAAGGGGTGACAACGCCAGCTCTGTTTCTTTGAGCTTGTGGGCTAGTGAGGGTCAGAGGAGCTAGTCTGAGGGATGGAGGGCAGACAGCGGAGTGGTGGTGGCAAAGGCCTGTTGCACTGGAGGACCTGCAAGCAGATCGGGGGGACTGGCGTGGAGAGAGACAGAGGGATGCCACCATAGGGGGGCAGGAGCCGTTCCGGGGGTGGCAGGAGGGCAGAGCCAGGCTGTCTTGTGATCCAGGCACCTTGTCTGCCTTCTGTTCTTTGCACTGACTATTTCTCATCCTAGATCTTTACAGTCTTTCTGAATACTACTTACATTTCAAATAGCTTTAGCATACAATCTGATTATAACAGTAATCATGCACATTGTAAAATACCCAGGATTCTATACAAAGGAGTAAATATTTATCTCTAATCTTACTACCTGAAGATAACCATGCTGACATTTTGGAGAATCTCCTTCCACACTATTATCCTATTTGATTATTTGATTACTAGCGATATTTAATTCTGTTTAGTTTACGAGTTTTAGGTTTTCTTAATGTTTACTACTACAGCAAATTTTTAAAAATTTACAAAGTATATTAATAACATCACTGATTAATCCACGAGCAGAGAATGACTCCCTCCTGGTGTGATTTTCCCCTTTGGAGAAGGATAAGTGTTTCCTATTTCCTTTGATTAGCTGTTTTCTGGAGGAAAAAGTGGTCACTCACATTACCCCCAACCAGCATTGTAATAACTAAAAACCCAAAGGTCAGCATGGAGTTTACAACAGAGAAAGCTGCAGACTAACTTTTACAATGCAAAGCCAGCACTCTCCATCAGAAAGAGAACTGTAGTTTATTTTGATCAGTCAAAAGTCCCCAGTGGGGCCGGCCAAGTGGCGCATTGGTTAAGAGTTGGCTTAGAACACCAGCTCTGAGCAGCAGGGCCCTGGTTCGGATCCCACATGAGGGCCAGTGACGCTGCGCCCTCTACAGCTAAGATGGTGAACAACGGCTCGACCTGGAGCTGGGCTGCTGTGAGCTACCGTGAGTGGCTGGCAGCCGCCATGAGCCGCCGTCCAATGACCGGCAACTGATCTGCCTCACCCAGGAAGAACGCAATGATCACAATACCAACATGGGCCAGTGAAGCAACGTCCTCCACAACTAGACTGAAGAACAAAAGGACAGCAACTTGTCTTTTCCCCTCCCCCAATTCCCCAATAAAATCTTAAAAAAAAAAAACCCAATGGATTCAGCGTTTTGCAGTCCTGATGGAAAAGCGTGATCTAATAGTACTATTGTTTTTCCTCAATAAATAGTGCCACCTTCTGGCAATTTTCTTGCTTAAGCACACAGAGTTGATGAACCTCAGGGGAGAGCAAGACAGAAGAAACCTGACTTAGCATCCAGAGAGCCATTGCCATGGCCGTAGGCTGATGTTTAGATCATTGTACCCGTAACACAGCATGAGCTGTGAAATTTCGTGTTGCCCAGAGCTGTGCTCAAAGAAGGCAGGCCAAGCTTTTAGTGCCCGTCTCTCGCCTTTTGTCATCAGTGTGCTTGTGGGCACACACTGGCCTGGAACGCAGCCTAGATTTGAGTTCCACCTCTGCTGCTTTTATGTCCCCCACTCCCACCTCCGCAAGCCCCCCATGCAAGGGTTTACCCCCCTAGGCCTCCCTATCCCAGCTCTCTTACAAAATTGGTCTGGAGGAGCGAATGAGTAGCATTTTGTAAGTCCTCAATGTACGGTGCTCCCCTAGTGTACAGCGACATTGACCTTTTTATCCTCTGATATTCTGACCTTGGGTTTTTCTCTCTTTGCCAGGTAGACGAAGAATATAAGAATCCTCACACGGTGGACAGAGTTCCTCTGGGGAAGCTGCCCCATCTGTGGGGCCAGTCCTTGTACATCCTCAGCTCGCTATTGGCAGAGGTAGGGAGCTTGGGGGCGTCCCAGATGGGAAACTGGAAGAGCACAGGGGCTCTCTGCCCAGTGTGGCTGTGATTGTCTTTGGCATCTTCATGGCTTTAAAGTCAGTTGCATGAGGTTGGCACAGTGAGAGTGGCCCTTAGGAGCTATAGGTGCTGAGGTGATGCATTTGTTTCATGGGTATGATCATCTCCCCAATTTCATGGCCATGTTCTTGGGGGTAAGGAATCTTCTACTTCTGTCTTTATGACTAGAGAAAACGCATATGTATATGTCCTTTGGAAAGCCAGCCCTGCCTCTGACTAGCTCTGTGACCTCAGGCAGTTCTCTTAACTTTTCTGGACCTCAGTTTCCTCATCTTAACAGTGAAGAGGTTGGGTTTGATCATCTCTGCGATACTTTACAGCTCTGATTTCTGCATCAGTGAGATGGGAGAAGAATAATTCTATTCCCATCTCCTCATCTTCAATGAAAAGGCCTTCATTTGGACCCAGCATTACGTCCAGTTCCTCCTCAGAACTCCCAGAATACCTTGTCCCCTCTCTTATTAGAATTCTGATCATTTATAGAAACTGCGGAGATCCATATTCAAAGAGCATTCTGTAAGCAGGGAGGGGAGTTTTGTGTTTCAGGACAGTCGGCCCTGGGCCAAGTCCCCACTCTGCCATTTACCTTAAGCGCATTACCTCTGTTTCCTCACCTATAAAATGATGATAATGGTAGTGCCCACCTGTTAGGAGGCCTAAATGTGACAATGCACATACAGGGGACTCAGCACATTACTGAGTGTGGAGTAAGGGCTCTGGAAGTATTAGTTACTGTCATTCTTCTCACTCACACAAGATGGTGGCATGTGACTAACCCTGGAGAGGTAGGTGCCAGAAACATAATACATTTATCAGTAGCTATCTAAATTGTATGCTGTGTTTCAGAGAAAATGAGCAATTGACTTAAAATATCTAAAGGAGTGAAATCCTGAATATTTTGAGTCCCCAAATATTTCATTTTCAAACTTAGGTTTAAGGTGAAATTTTAGTAATTAGTGTTTCATAGCATTAATGCACCTGTTTTCCTAGGGATTCCTTGCCACTGGTGAAATTGATCCCTTAAATAGAAGATTTTCCACTTCCGTCAAACCTGATGTTGTAGTACAAGGTTTGTAAGCATGTTTACTATTCACGTTTAACTTGTAAAACCCATGTTATTTTTAATTCAGATTGTTCCCTAGTTTTCTATTTAATTTTTTAAAAGTTTGTATGTGTGTATGCTTCAGCATATATCAATTCTGTGAAAAACATTCTCTAACTCAATAGCTCCCAACAGCAACAATATTCTTCCCAACCACAAAGTTACTTTCTACAAAGCCACTGTTTTCTTGAATCTAAACCTCGATTGCAGTTGGGACATAAGTGATTCATTAAGCATCATTTTTCATAGCTGACGTTCTTCAGGAAGTAGAACGTGAGGCTGATGAAAACTCAGAACCCAAGTGAGGGTTCACTCGTTCCTCCCTTTGAGGTCTGACTGGAGCTGCGGGCCCACCCGCCTCCACCTGCTTCCCCTCCTCTCCTGCCAGCACCTCTTCCAGAGACGTGGAAGGCCAGTCCGGGCTGCTGCAGCGCTGTCTCTGCCTCCCTACATGCCTTCGCCTCTCTGTGCCTCACGGTTGTCCTGACTGGTGCCCCCTCACAGGGGATCTTGAGATCAACTGAGATTGCCGTGGTGAAAGCCCTCAATGTAGGGCCCGGCCTGGTATGCGCCCAGCCCGCCATTTCCTCTCCCTATTTTCCGTCCTCAGAAGACTCCGAAGGAGTTCACATGCCTCATAGAGCAACTCATGTACCAGCTGATATCAGAACACATTGTGTTGACACCTTATTTACTCTAAATTTCACTGTACATTTCTTAAGGACAAGGCCTGTATCATTCTTGCAGCTTCTATGTTGATTGACACACATGCACTCAATACATTAAAATACATTATTGAACAAATGAAAGGCAACCTTATTTGTCACCATGGACTCATTTCACCGCACCTGCCAGTGATGCAGTGAGAGGCCAGCAGGACACCACCTTGTCAATACTGTGTGCCAGGCCCTCCGCGAGACACAGCCAAGTGTCACACATTCTGATCAGGCAGAAATTGTGATTGTTATGATTATCATCCCCATTTTATACATGAGGCTTAGGAGTTAACTTACTCACTCAAGGTCTCCCAGCTGACAGCTGGAGGTGCGAACCCTGTTCTGACATTCAGGTGGACCGATCCAGCCCGACTCCACGGTCTCTGCACTTAACCAGAGCACATGCTGCTAAGTGATCCTTTCAACCCACAAGGCGTCTTTTCCATCTGCGGGCTGGGGTGCGTTGATGGGTCCTGAGCAGCATTTTTTTTTTAATATACGGTCATGTGCCACCTAACAACGCTTCGGTCAACGATGAACCTCATATATGACGGTGGTCCCACAAGATTATAATAGAGCTGAAAAATTCCTGTTGCCTAGTGACGGTATAACTATTGTAATGTCATGGTGCAACACATTACTCACGTGATGCTGGTGTAAACCTGCGCTGCCAGTTGTATAGAAGTATAGCACGTACAAGTACAGCAGTAGGCTAGACCGTCTGTGTTTATGTAAACACGTTCTATGATGTTCACACAATGACAAAATCGCCTAACAACGCATTTCTCAGAACGTGTCCCTGTTGGTAAGCAGAGCATGACTGTAATAGATTAGAACAGAGTACAAAGCATGAGAGGATCTGGCCAGGAGGAGGCGGAAGTGCAATTTCAGAAACTTCTCCACATACGGCTGTATCAGATCACGAGGCTCACAGGTCTCGGTCAGACCACTGTTATAAAAGACAGAGTATGACTACTATGTGGCTCTGATGCATGTGGATCTCTGCACAGCATCAGAAGCTTCCAAAGAGACCGATGTAAGGGAAGCCACCCACCCGGTCCTGCATGGCTGATGTTCTCATTTCCTGGGGCCTGGGAGATCAGCTTCCGGTCCCTGTTCAGCTATAGCTGCTGGCCAGTTGAGCGTGCAAGGCTTCCCCTGAGGGACAATTGTAAAGCTCAGATGAAATCATGGATATTAAAATACTTTGGAAAAGTATCATGTGCTATATAAATATAAGAAGGTGACATTTGGGTCTCGATGGCATTTATATATATTGTATGTTCAGGTGCCATCAGCCTGTGGTATAATAGTGGGGCTCGGGGGGCTACCTCAGCAGTAACCAAGTCTTCTTCCTCTAGCCTGAGCACAGCCCCAAGCCCCTCCAGTTTCCAGCAGGTTCTGCTGCAGGTAGACACAGACCCAGCCACTCTCTCTGGCCGGAATTCCCCTTCTCCAGTCCCCTCCCTGAACTCCTTCTCTTAGACAAAAAGCACTGCTCCTTCTCTTAAAAGCCAGCAGTACAGATACAGCGGTGTGGGGGTGTGAGGCCCCTCCTCAGGCACCCATGTCCCAGGCACTCAGCTCCCTGCCTGCAGGAGAACCAGGTGCCCAGCCTCACCTACCGGAGATGGGCCCCAGGCCAACCCATTGAGGGTACAGGGCCTGGCATTGGGCTGCCCCATTACCACCAGCAGCCCACTAACAGCCCCACTTTACCTTCTATCCGGAGGGAAGCCCTCCCCCTCTGTCAGAGCCCTGCTGCTAGCACACGCCACCATATTGTGCCTCTTTCCTGCCCTTTGGTAGCAGGGACACAGGCTTCTCCTGGTTGCCCCATGCCGAGCTGTTTCCACTCGTGATCCCATATGCAAATAACACAAGACAGGTTTAGAATAAATGCAGACCCAGAGGGCGGCAAGACATCATTTGAGATGGGGTAATTTGGCTTGGGACCCATTGAAGACCATTTCTATAAGACTCGTACCAGACTGTTTTGTATATTGTAGGTGCTTGATAAATATGCATCGTGGGTGTTGAGGGGAGACAAGGCCAGAGAGAACCAGGAAGAGCAGCAGTACAAGTGCTGTCATTTTCAAAGCCACCCAGTGCGTGGAGAGCATGCTAATGTGTGTATCATAGGCCAATGAAGAGATCACATAATGCTGCACATCCATGTGAAGAGACAAAGGCACAGTCTAATGCGGATTCTCCGTCCTTCTTGATTGCAGTTACTGTTCTAGCAGAAAACAAGCACGTTAAGGAATTGCTGAGGAAGCATGGGATAGACGTCCAGAGCATTGCTGACATTCACCCAATCCGAGTCCAACCAGGCCGGATCCTCAGCCACATATATGCCAAACTTGGTAGGTTTGGGAAAATAGCAGGGTGTTTTTGACGAGGGGGCATCTTGGTTCTAGGTTTTGGGTCTGGGGGAAACAGTGAGATGTGTAAATTCGAAAGAATTGGGCAAGGCACTAAAGCAGGTGGTTTGACTACTTCCATGTGAAGAAGAGTGAGCGAACAAGCACATTCTTCTCATGCCAGGTCAGTAGATGTTGCCTGCCGCAGGATGGCCGTGTCATTTGCCAGATCTGTTGTAAAATAAGCAGCACCTTTGAAAATTCACAATTGGAACAGTCATTTTTGTCTTGATAATGGTTGTCATTTTCATCTGTCATCTCAGAAAATGCTCATTTACCCATTACAGTGGGAGAGGGCTCTCTTTACTTTTTCTAAAATCTGGCGTTGTTTAGTATTATGGCTCCATACTGAATAAATTAAAAGTAAACATTAATAAAGTCTTTTTAATAGTTTTATTCCATATAGATGTTGAACCAGGTGCTGTTCGTATACATGCATTGAAAGAAGGGGGTGTGATTTGTTTTTAATTCATCCTTGTCCCATTTAAAGAAGGATGATAGTATTAAAAAAAACAGTGAGTTAACATAAAAATAAGTTCAGTCTTACCCAAAGTCACTCGGATTAGATGTTACTGTATTTGCTTTACTCCAATTTCTCTTTAATTTTTCAAATAGGACGGAATAAGAATATGAAATTGAGTGGCCGACCCTATCGGCACATTGGTGTCCTTGGAACATCTAAACTATATGTGATTAGGAACCAAATCTTTACTTTCACACCCCAGGTGAGAAGAGCAGGCCCATAGCAAACCAACAAGCATCCTTTCATTAAGCTGTCTTTTCTGTCTGGTGAGCCCCTTTGTGTGTGGTAGAATATGCATGCATGTGTTCCAATAGAGACATATATGGTGACCCCTGGGACCTAGTACAATTCTTTACTCAGAATAGGTGCTCATTACATGTGGCTTGAATTGAATTGAGTGTGCCAGGACTTCCAGTCATGAGTAGTAGTGAAATTCACACCGCTTTACAAATTTGCTAGTGACATGTCACTTGACTCTCAGCCCTTGTGCCCCTAATTGCAATTGTCCCTCACCCTTGCATAGGTTTGTCATCAGACCCTTTGTGTAACACACAGCCAGTCTGATTTTCAGGCCCCAATCCCCTTGACGAGATCCTCGATTACAGAACTTTTCTTCAGAGTTTTTGTTTCCAAAGGAAACTAGTCCTGTGGAACCCAAACCAATAGTTTTTCATCCATTTGGGCAGCTAGAAAGACCAATTGTGGCATCACTTTATCAACTTGGGGCACAGCGCCCCCACTACCCGGGCACACTGTCGTGAGTCAGTAGCCCCAAGTTGCTCTTTTTCACCCTAACCCACACTGCTCACTTCAATCTTGTGAGTTATTACCTTTCATAACAAATTTCAAACCAGAGCATGGACTAGTCCAGAGGCCAGAACAGTTTGATTTTCCTTGACATCAGGCCACAGTACCTTTAGTTCATCATATTAACCAGGCCATCATTCAGGTAAACACCATCTCCCCATCTCACCTGCTCTCAGCGCCCTCACTTGGAAAGCATCTCTGAGCCCAGCAGCCCTGGAGGAGTACGAATTAAGGAGTTATTGATTTCCTTTAGGAGACGGCAGTATTGGGCCAGGTGCTTAAATCCCCAGCTGAGGAGCTAGCTGTAAATAGATCTAGCTGTGTACCTTTCCTTTCCACGGCTCCTGGGCAAGCAACAAGTCGATTTGTCTGATTGCGAGGAGAGCCGCATAATGGGCGGATTACAGCCAGGATTGAACCTCTTCTGTGGAAACATAACACAAGGATTAGTGCTGCCGTGAACGACAGCTGGGGTGGTGTCGAAGGACATGAAGGACCGCCTTTTACCTGGTCTGTTTTGACTTGCAGTTCACTGACCAGCACCACTTCTACCTGGCCCTGGACAATGAGATGATCGTGGAAATGCTGAGGATCGAGCTGGCCTACCTGTGCACCTGCTGGCGGATGACAGGCAGACCCACACTCACCTTCCCCGTCACCCACACCATGCTCAGTAACTCGACACACTTGCTCTTCCTGATTCATGTCCCACTGTTGGTTTGGGCCGTTTTCAAAATGGTTTAAATGGATCCCCAGGACAGAGCTGAGTACTGAAAGGAGTTCTCAGTAGTTCAATTTCTTAGCTCAGGAATCTTCTATCACATATGTATTTTAATTAGAATGTGTTGATGAAAGCATTTCAGTGCATGTCCCCCACCCCCCAAAAAAGTATTCCTAGATTAGGTAAATTAATTCATCTTTTTTTTTTCCCCTTAGTGAATGATGGCTCAGATATTCATCCTGCAGTCCTTTCTACAATTAGAAAACTAGAGGATGGATATTTTGGAGGAGCTAGGTAATTTATGACTTTTTTATAAATAAAAGCAACATCGACATTTCTTAAAGTCTTTTGCTGCCTTTCTCCCATTTTTCATATCAGTTGCTGAACCCAGAAGCATGGCGCTTTAGAGTAAAAAGGAAGTTAAAATTGTACTAATCCGGTCACCCATGTGAAACTGGAGTCATCTCTAAAGTAGCATTCAGTGGGTATTAGTGAAGCTTTTACAGGCGCCAGGAGGCCTGGGGCATAGAGAGGTGAACATATCAATTTCTCTGAAGTGGCGTTCTTGGAATGCGTTCATGGAATGCTGTGTCTGTTTCTAGTAAAAGGCATAAGAAAATACCCAGTGCCTAGAATCTAGCAGGTGCTCAATAAATACTCCTTGAATTCACATGAGTGTGCTGTCACCTGAAGAATAATTTATAGAACTTTACAAATTCCTTAGTGATTCTCAGAGCAGAGCACCGGAGTGGGCCTACCTAAACCGTTGTCCCCTCATTCTCAGTGGAATGACACCCATTCCAGGGTGCAGGCCCAGGTGTTATATATGATTAGCACCTAGAGTGATAGGGGACTCACCACCCAAGAAAACCCCTTCTGTGTTTGTACCCTATGATTGTCACAGGCAGAGGTTTCCTCTGTAGCAGCTGTGCCCTGATCTCTCTGAAATCCCTGGAATATGCCAGAAGGGCCCCAGGAGAACCTCACTGTGCAGCCAGCCCCAGGGAGGTGTGGCCTTTCCCGGGTTCAGGGAGGCTTCCATTTGGTCCTTGATGGAATGCCAGTTGCTAAAAGTGTTTGGGGCTTGAAGTCAGCCCTTCTCACATCCTCCCAGACCAGGGACCCTGCTGCCACTGTAATTTTTTTTTAATTGTGGTAAATTACATATAACATAAAATTTACCATCTTGACTCTTCTTAAGTGTACAGTTCAGTAGTGTTAAGTACATTCACATTGTTTTGCCACTGATCTCCAGATCTTTCTCATCTTGCAGAACTGAAACTCTGTACCCATGAAACAACTCTCCGTTTCCCCCTGGCCTCAGCCCCAAGCAACCACCATTCTACTTTCTGTCTCTAGGTATCTCATCTAAGTGGACTCATCCAGTATTTTTGTGACTGGCTAATTTCATGTAGCCCGATGTCCTCAGGGATGAGTCTCTATATTTCTAAGTGCTGCTCACAGAGCTTCTCCTGGCCCCTCTCAGGAGTGTCAGCAAGACCATCCCCAGCATTTTGCCATCTACACTTCCAGCTCTAGCGCCATAACTGCAGTTGGCATCCACTTTCATACGTTTCACCTCCAGTTTAAATAAGTTACCACCTGGTGTATGGCATCATAACCAAGGGAAAATACCATACGCCCCTAATGAACTGTTTGTCAAAATAAACTCTTTAATTGAAATCTAATCATTGTCAAAAGGACCCTGCAGTTCATTGAGCACTTGCAGTGCGTACTTTGTTGCTTTGTATGGATTGTCACACTTAGTCTTCACTTGGCCACGTGGGCTGTAAACCCATTTTACAGACAAGGAGCTGTAGCCGCAGAGAGCAGGGCACAAGACGAGCAGGTGCAGAAGCTCTGTGTGAATCCAGAAACCAGGCTCTAACAGCCATGTGGAACTGGCTAAGGGCTTACAGGAGTCAGGAGGGCCTCCATTTACAGAGTATGGCAACAGTTCAGAGAACCAGGGAACGAAACAAATGCCTAGGCTCCATCAGCTACCTTTCCTACTAAGTTCTTGATAGTTACAATTGAATCTCATGCCTTTTTCTTTAGAACTGAGGGTCTTTCAAAAACTGAACTCACCCTAGATGCCTACCTGTACCCCTGTGGACCCACCTCCGGTCGCTTGCTATCAGAAGCCTTTTTAAATTACTACCTTTCTTCTGCCTTTGACCCGACTCCTTTGAACTTCATAGAGGGAAACTTTTCATTGTCTTTTTTCCATGCTGCACCTCACCTGCTCCTGTTCCCCAACCTCAGGAAAAACCATCACTAGAACTGCTGACGGGGCTTTAAGTGGGAAAGTTATTACTTTAGGAAGGGAAGGCTTTTCTTTCCCTCAGACCATGTTTATGATGTAGTCCATTTGCCTGTTGAAACTCAATCACCTATGAATTCATTTGCATCCCACACTTCACTTTACTCCTTAAACGTTTCTCTCAGCCATTTCTGCTTCCAGAACTAACATTTGAAGAAGCACACAGAGCAGGCTTACTTTTTGTAGGACGAACATTCCACCTGCTCCCTGAATCTGGGAACGGACCTGCAGAGCTCCGAGACTGCTGCCTTTGTAATGGGACCCCACACTGCCAAACCCAGTTCCCAGTTTTCAGTGGAACTTTGCCCAGCCTGATAATATACTAGGGCCACTCTGGACGTCTGCTGTGGTCAGGGGATGGCCTACTAATCACATTCCTTCTAGAGAGAGTTTGGGCTCTGAGACATCCCAACCTGCACCTATGTGGCCATGTTGCATGGCAGGGACTCATAAACAATGGCACACGTTCACCCAGAGAATTGTTGCTTATGGTTTTGTTCTGGTCCATTCATTTTTAGGGCCAAAAAAATCCCCTAACACTTGGTTCTGGTTTAAAGTGGTTCGCTCAATACGTTTTGTAAAACTTTGTTTGGTTCAGTAAAATAGATTTCTATTTGTGTTGGGTTCAGAAGTAAGAAATCAGCGTGATTCATTTTGGCTTTTAATATTTTGTGTGCTTCCACTTCATACTTGCTATTGAATTTTCATTTTAATTTCTTGGCTGACTACCGCTGAGTGACGTATTTATTGATACTGGCAGAAGCGCCACCTGGTTGTTGAAAAGTCTCTCCGTGATTCATAGTGGAAGTTTGTCCACATGCACCTATATCTGTAACAGAGTGTCTCCTTGGCAGAGTAAAACTAGGGAGCCTTTCGGAATTTCTCACCACGTCTTTCTACACGTATCTGACCTTCCTGGACCCAGACTGTGATGAGAAGTTGTTTGATAATGCCAGCGAAGGAAGCTTCAGTCCTGACAGCACTTCAGATTTGGGAGGATATTTGGAAGACACCATAAATCAAGGTATAGCTGGGCATGCCTTTGCAGGCAGTTCATTGAATTTATTGAAACTTTGGTGTTGTTATAAAATTGCCCTAAGACTTAAGCACAGACAATGACTGGTAATTAACATAGTAAAAAAGAGGGTTTGGAAACTTGCACTCATTAAAGTGAATAAAATGCCAGTTTAAAAGCCTAAACTGCAAAAGTGGGGCTTTTTTAAACCTAGAAGGACAAAGAGTGTCAGTAATGAGCACTTTTCACAAATATATTCTAAGGACAGAAGCACCCTGCTTGAGTTTTCAAAGGAATGGTAGAAGGATCTAGGTTTGATTAGGTATGAGTGCTGAAATCCTATATATATAAAACATTTCTCAAACTGACAGGGTTTCAGGTTGAAGTGACCTGTTTTTTACTTTTAGATAATACTTGGGATTGGGGCTGGAGGCTCCATAATGTTTAGCTCATTCATGACAAATTAAAACAGAAAGATCAGATCATAACTGCTGGCCCCAGGTTATCTTACATATTCAGTTTATCTGGCGATGATGTGACGCAAACATTATCTTGACCTGTGTTTCCTTTTCCTAGGATGAAGTTTTTCCAAACAGTGACTTTACAAACATATACAGTGCAAATATCTATTATATATGAAAATGTTGTCTTCCACTAAATTTCCTCAGTGCTGCGTACTACACACAATCACTATTATGCCTTTAGCATATCTCTGCAGCTTGTTTTCATTGGCTCTTTTGCTTGCTTGTCCAATTACAGAAAGCCAGGACGAACTTGACCAGTATATCAACCAGCTCCTGCAAAGCACCTCCTTGAAGTGCTACCTGCCTCCTCTTTGTAAGAAGACTTCAGAAGACAGCCATGTTTTCAGTGCCATCCACTCTACTCGGGATATACTCTCCTTGATGGCAAAAGCAAAGGGTTTGGAAATTCCGTGTATGTTATTCACTGTTTTCTGCCTGTTAAAATAACTTCTTTTATCAAAGTAATGCATGAGCATAATTTAAAAGTCAAAGAATCCTAAAAGAGAACAAAGTGCAGATGTTTCCTGCCTCCCCCCTCCCCTTCCTACTGCCGAGCTGGTGAGAGCCCGTGCTCTTATCAGCAAGGTTGCCGGTTTGACACCCATGTGAAATGGCCCTTCCTACTGCCCCTCCCCCCTCCCACCCCCAGTCCTTCTACTTAAGAGGTAACTGCTTTCAACTTAGTTGTTTCTTATGACATTTACAATACATAGCTCCATATTTTTAAAATAATGTGTGTATACTGCTGTCTTTTGATGTGCTGACTTTATTCAGTATCTTTTTACTTTCTCTTATGGGGTGAGGATTTAGCTGTCTTAAATCACCACTCCTCAGCTTCTCTTTCCCTAACCTGCCGATGTAATTATATTCAAGTTTAGTTAAAACAATACTCACTCTTTATATTATTGTATGTATGCAGATATTATTTCCCAACTGAGCATTATATTGTGTTGTCGGAAAAGTCATGATGCATTTTTGCAATGAAAAACATAGAAAACATACGTCATGACTTTTCCGACAATCCAATAGTATATACTGTAATTATATTATCATTTTTACTTTTTGTGTTTTCTAAAGCTAATAGTTGCCCCATCTTTTCATTTGCTTTGCTTCCTTTTTACACCTTCAAATGGCCTCACAATACAAATTTCCACAAGGTCAATAATGTCCAGGGATCTCTCTGTTCTACTACTTTTCTTAGCATCCACGGGTCTCCTTCTGTCTGGCTGATTGAGCTCTAGGCCTTTTGCATATCTGGCACCCTGGGACTTCTCTTTACCATATAACCCTTGGAATCTCCTTTGCTTAGCGCTTCAGTTAGATTCCCTGTTTCCTGAATCTGGCATGTTCCCCTTTCTCAATTTATTCCTTTTGTGGAGTACATTCTAGAATAGTTTCAGTGAGGTTTTTTTTTTAATGGTATAATGGAAGAGGTCATGGTGATGGCAGCCCTCAACTTGCTTGTTTTTGAAGTTCACTGCACCCTATGGTCTATTTGCCCTTCATGTCCAGGACATAGATTTTATCCTAGGATCTTTCTACGCCATCATCCTGGGGAGTTCCTTAAGACTTCCCTTGTCTCCTGCATTGGCTGTCCTGCTTTCTGTGTCTCAACGTTTCCTTTTTCAGCTTACTCTCTTATTTTGGTGGTCGAGCTCAATTGTTTCTTAGGCTCCTTCCATCCTAAGATGCTATGTAATTTTCCCTGAATTCCAGGAGGGAAAATTTGAAATTCAGCTCCTTAAAGCAAGATCCATGTCCGGCTCATTTCTTGTTTCCTCATTTAGCACATGATATAGTTACATGATAAATTCCTGTTGAAATTAATTATACTAAATAAGTAGTCCTTCCTTTAGTTGGTTTGTATTGAACAAGGAGCAGCCACTATACCTCTTAAAAGAAGTATTTTATCCTTCCTCCTCCTCAAGAGTTCTCTCTATTCTTTTGTTTTCCAGTTGTTCCCATGACTTTGCCAACTAAAGTTCTAAGTGTCCACCGTAAATCGCTAAATCTTGTTGATTCTACTCAGCCACTCCTAAAAAAGGTAAAGCATTTAGAATCACTTTTTTTTAAGTGTGATGTCCTTCGATGCTGGTGTAATCTTAAGAACTCTTTTAAGTGGTTAAACTCAAAAGAAAGGGCATATTTCTTGATGTCCAGGACTTTCAGGAATAGAAGTTCTGGGTTTCAGTGGGAACCCACTCACTTAGTTGTCTGGAATCTGCTATGTGTCAGTACACACATTGAATTTGATGCAAACCTTTATGTTCTGTGTGTAGGAAAAGGCTACTGACTTTCTGCCAACTCTTCAGAATGTGTGTCACACTAGAGGAAATAAGGACTGCCTAGCCCTGTCCTGTCTGTGCCAGGCAGCCAAGACCAGGCTATTTGCAGAACAGGGTACAAACTGGGGAAAGAAAATCCTCAGGAGAGGAATCTGGGGGTGTTCCCTACTGGTTCCCATAATTTGTTATTTTTATCCAGCAAACCCCCCCTTGATTTTATCCCACATGAATAGAAAGATTCAGCGTCAATTGGAGAATATCTTAACCTCAATTTTAGGTTGTTTGAAACTCACATACTTTTTGTGTTTTGCTTTGTTTTCAAAAACATATTTTGTTGAAGTATAACATATATAGAGAAAAGTATATGAAGTATAAGAATTGAACTCAATGGCTTATCACTGAGCCAGAAGATGCAGGTAAATGACCAGCCACCCTTTGTGCCCCTCCCAGAAGCTTCCTCCCCCTTCACTCCAGAGGTGACTGCTAGCATACGTTCTAATACCAGGGGTTAGTTTTGCCTGTTTTTGAACTTTTTAAATAGAACTTACACATATTTTAACCTATTCAGTCCAGTCTCTTGGAAACATTGACTAATACAGTGATTCACTGATCAAAAATAGTAAAGCATGTAAATAAACAAATACAAAATTTTCACTGAAAACCCGGAATACAGCACAGTGACGGAGTTCCCAGACCAGGTTGGTGTGTCACTTTCCATCTTCTGACAGCTTGAAAGCTCAGTCTGTTATCCCCTGGTTTTTGGCTTTTGTGTTGCCAGACCCCTGAAGATGACTTCCAGTGGCCCAGAGACGACCATGGTGATGTGGACTGTGAAAAACTGGTTGAACAGCTGAAAGATTGTTCGAACCTACAGGACCAAGCAGACATTCTGTACATTCTGTATATGATAAAGTAAGTTTCTGGGGTGGCCGGTTACCACAGTTGGTTCGAGCGCAGTGCTCATAACACCAGGGTTGCCAGTTTGAGCCCCACATGGGCCAAGGAGCTGCGCCCTCCACAACTAGATTGAAGACAACTACTTGACTTGGAGCTGATGGGTCCTGGAAAAACACACTGTTCCCCAGTAAAACAAAAAAGGAAGTTTCTGGTCTTCACTAGGCCAAGTTTTCCCCATCCTCCTGGACTCTGTTCCCTCGTCTTCTTGCCCTTCCGGTAAGATAGGTCATGATGATATTCACCCACGTTACCCAGGATCACCACGAACAGACTTCCACCCCCACCTCTGCCCACTCATGCTGGCCTCCCTGAACGAGAAGGCTGGGTAAGGCCAGGATCTCACCATTTCCCGATGTTAGGCTCCTGTTCCAAATAGACAGAAGGGATGCGTTGGTAAGACACAACCCTCTCATGGGACTCGGAGGCACTGGGCGGGCCGAGCACTTGGCAGAGGGCTTAGTGACTCATTCCCCTTCCTGCCAAGTGAGCTCTGCTACAAGAGAAGCCAGCCTGCACATGTTCCGGGCCTTACTTCTGGGGGCCTTACTTTCTGTCTCTTGACAGGGGTCCCAGCTGGGACACAAATCTCTCCGGACAACATGGTGTCACTGTTCACAACCTCCTCAGTGAGCTCTATGGGAAAGCCGGCCTGAACCAGGAGTGGGGTTTGATTCGCTACATCTCTGGCCTGCTCAGGAAGAAAGTGGAGGTGCTGGCCGAGGTCAGAGCCACTGCGCGGGCTGTCTGGCTGTCCTTTCTAGCCCCATGCCCTCTTCCTGTTATGAAAGCTGGAGGCAAGCGCCTCTTCTTTGTGAAGGAAACCAGTTGTTTAATATATAGGTGAAGTGGGCCCTCCTCTCCTGACCTCCCACTGCCCTTGAAAGATGAGCAGAGAAAATGAAATTGAAGTTGATTCATTTTGTTCTTCTTAGCTGCAGAGAAAGGTTTTCCCAATAAATAAAACAAAACTGGTCTGTGGCCTGGCACCCTCTTAAATAGAGCTCTCTTATTTCTGTATATCCACAGTCTAATCATCATTAACATTATAACCCTAAGGCCCTGTAAAAATCCAGAACCACTTCCTAAGACATTAAAGTTCAGTGTTATGGTAAGGTGATGGTATTTATTATATGAGAATAGTGGGGAAACTGATCATTTAGGACTATAATGTGGTAATTAACCCTTAATATCAGTATCTTGGGACTCGTGACAGCTCATCCCCTTTGTAGCATATCAGGGAATCCAATGTGTTTGCTACAATGGATGGGCATTAAATACCCACTAATGGGCCTTGCAGAGCTGGTCCTGAGGCCACATATTGGGGACACAATCATCTAGGGGACTCAGCCCTGCCTGGGTTGCTCAGTCGGGGGTCTATGTATGAATTTTTCAAATAAATGGCAACATGGGTCATAAAGTGTGTAAAGGTTAATATATGACCTTATTGGCAATCCCCTTCCCCTTTGGCTTTGCTAATCTCCCTCTCTCCCTCCCTTCCTCTCTCCCCTTCTTCCTCCTCGTCTCCCCCTCGTCTACCCCTCTCCCTCCCTCTTCCTTCCTCACTCCCGCTCCCTCTTTCTCTCCCTCCCTTTTTCTCTCTTTTCCTCTCTCCCTCCCTCTCCCCGTCTCCCTCTCTCTTTTCCTCTCTCTCTCACCATTTCTCCTAAATGAGTAGGCCTGTACAGACCTGCTATCACACCAGAAGCAGCTCACAGTGGGCCTACCACCGGAGCCGCGGGAGAAGACTATCTCTGCGTAAGCCTTCAGCCTGGGGGGGGCGGGGCTAAGGTTGGCGGAGGGTGGGGGGGCGTGGGGAAAACATCAGTTCCATCCACTGTTCAGAAAGAGGGTCTTTTTTTTTTTTAGCTGAGCCATCCTGCCACCTGTTGGCAGCT